CGCCCTCCGTCCCCCTACCGATGACAGTCTCATGATGGTCGGCCTCGGTGGCAACAACGGCACCACCGTCACCGCCGGTATCATCGCCAACCGCGAGAACATCTCCTGGAAGACTCGCCTCGGCGTCCAGACCCCCAACTACTTCGGGTCCCTGACCCAGGCTTCCACCGTGCACCTGGGCCGCGACCTGCACTCCGGCAAGGACCACCACGTTCCCCTGGCGAAGATGGTCCCCATGGTGGACCCCAACACCTTCGTCATCGGCGGCTGGGACATCAGCGCCATGCCCATGATCGAGGCCATGGACCGTGCCCAGGTCCTCGAGCCGGACCTCATCAACCAGCTGAAGCCCCACCTCCAGGGCATGGTTCCCCTGCCCTCCATCTACGACCCGGACTTCATTGCCTCCAACCAGGCCGACCGCGCGGACAACGTCATCCCCGGCACTCGCGCCGAGCAGCTGGCCCAGATCCGCAGCGACATCACCACCTTCCGCGCCAACAACGCCTGCGAGCAGCTGATCATCGTCTGGACCGCCAACACCGAGCGCTTCGCCGAGATCATCCCCGGCCACAATGACACCGCCGACAACCTCCTGCGCGCCATCGAGGCCAACCACCCGGAGGTCTCCCCGTCCACCATCTTCGCCGTGGCTTCCATCCTCGAGGGCACCCCCTTCATCAATGGCTCGCCCCAGAACACCTTCGTGCCGGGTGTCGTCGAGCTGGCCGAGCGCTATGGCGTCCTCATCGGCGGCGATGACTTCAAGTCCGGCCAGACCAAGATCAAGTCCGTCCTGGTGGACTTCCTCGTCGGTGCCGGCATCAAGCCCCTCTCCATCACCAGCTACAACCACCTGGGCAACAATGACGGCATGAACCTCAGCGCCCCGAGCCAGTTCCGCTCGAAGGAGATCTCCAAGTCCAATGTCGTGGATGACATGGTTGGCAGCAACCCCATCCTCTACAAGGAGGGTGCGTGATGGTTCTTTTTTTTTCTCCCTCTCCCGCCCTCCCTCTCGCCTTCTGGCTCTCCCCGTACTCACTTTCACACACGCACACGCACACACGCACACGCACACACGCACACACGCACACACGCACACACGCAGGCGAGCACCCCGACCACGTCGTTGTCATCAAGTACGTCCCGGCCGT